GTATACAGTATATATATATATATATATATATATATATATATATAATTATTTTTATTTAATAAGTATATATTGTATAACATTATTATTAATAGTACTAGTTATATTATTATTTTTGTTGTAGTAGTAGTAGTAGTTGTTGTTATTTAGACTGTTGTGAAAAAAATCACCTTGAAAATTGTCCTAATTAGAGACTGTACAGTTTATTTTTGTATTTACAGCTCATTTTCAGGATTTAATATGTACTGTAATTAAAACATTTCTGCTTTCAACCCTCCTGAATGTCTTGCCCATAGACTTCCATTACTGTAAATGTGCTTCGAGCTTGTTGAAATTATTTTTGCTAAATTAGATCATGTTACACACACAACTGAACACAGGATGTTTGTGTCTGACTGTATTTCTTTTGAAAGACAGCAATAGAATTGAATTTAAAATAGATTGCCAAGAGGTTCCTGGAAATCAGAGAATGTATGTGCAGACGACGTGATATCAGTAAAAAATAAAAACAGATTAAAACCTCGCTAGACTTTACAGGGACATTCCTCATATGAATAATATTCAGGATCCTGGGGTTTCAAAAGAAATATTGCAACTCTATTCTCATCCAGAGAAACGTGATATTCATTTTCAACAATCTGTCTGTATTTCTGCAGTTCTTGGCGTGAAATCTTCAGAAGCAGCGCCTACTGAATATTTGTTTAGTAACCAGTTAGAACTGCTGTTCTTCATACTGAGCTCAAGATGAGAGAAAAAGCTTGTGATATTCATTTGTGTCTATTGAAATATTGTTTATGAAACTTCAAAAGACCACAAGCTCCTTCAGCTCTTGAAGTATGTGTCTATGAAATTATATTTTATGGATAAGAGCAGACGTTTCCAAACCTCTGATCTTACAATAAATCTCTGCATTTCCCTCTGAAAGCAGAAAGTGTAATACTGTAGTACTGAATGAGTTTTTAGTAGTAACATTTACCGCATTTGTTTACCATGGTATTTACATAGTGCATTTAAGCTAGAATACACTTAAGTTTAAAGATCTTTCAGCAGCAATAAAAGCAATTATCCATAATAAAAATATGTCCTAAGAATGTTTTGCTAATGTTCCCATTAAGTTATGAAAACTTATTTCTGAAAGTTCTCAGAACAATCAAAACATACAGATTTTTTTTTTTTTTTTTTTTTTTTT